AAGGAGGCGCTCAACTGCTTCAATTCTTACCCAACTATGTGTCTACCTCCGAGCAATCAAGTGAGGCCTTTTAAATCATGTGATAAGCATTTTAGGCGTGGCAGCTCTCTAAATGGATTATCTTCTCCAGTAGAAATGGGAATTCAGCGAGACAAAGATGTGGCATTAAACATAGTTGTATTTCTCTAGAGATGAGGTCACATAATTTGAAACACAGCACTCAATATTCTGTTAAAAACACTCTTGGTGTACAAATCTTCGTTTGTGCCTCAGTTCTCATTTTCTCAGGGTATATTCCAAGTAATGTAATAGTTGGGTGATATGGAATGTCTATGATCAGCTTTTTGAAGAAGCGGCACTCTGCCTTCCAGAATGCCATTTTACAATCCCAGCAACAATGTATGAGTTCCTTTCTCTCTACATCCTCTCCAACATTTATTACTTGCTGTCCTGTTAAACTTTGCCACTGTTACTGGAGTGGGATGGTACCTCATTGTGGTTTTGATTTGCATCTCTCTTATTTGGAGCATTTCTTCATGTGTCTGTTTGTCATTTGGGTATCTTCCTCTGTGAAAATTCTTTCCATGTCTTTTGCCCATTTTGTAATTGGGTTATCAGTCTTTTTCTTGTGGAGACCCAGGAGTAGTCTGTAAACTTTTGTTATAAGACACTTTTCTGAGATAGTATTACCAAATGTTTGTTCCCAGTCAGTAGGTTTTCTTTTCACTCTGTTGGAAAAAAAAACCTTTTTGTTACACACATGGATTTAATCATTAGAAAGTCCTACTCATCAATTTTATCCTCTTCAGATTATACATTTCTGGCTGTATTTGGCAGTCTCTTTATACCTTGGACTAGCGCTTCTAAACTTGATCCCAATTTGTCTCTTCGCACCCCCCCCCAATTTGTCTCTTATGGTTTTGGGCTTTACTCCCAGGACTCTGATCCAACCTTGAGTTGGTTTTTGTGTGTGATGTGAGATGTGGATCCTGTTTCTGCCCTCTGCAGGTTATTATGGACAAAACAATACTTTTTATTTTCATTTGAGGTTTGTAGACTGCACCTCTTTGGTGGTTTGAACCCACCAGCAGTTTCAAGGGAGAAAGATGACAAGTAAATTATTGCCTAAGTTGGGAGGGACTGGAGAACATTATGCTGTGTGAACTCTCTCAGTCCCACAAGGATAAATAATGTATAAAACCATTATTGTAATATGAGGGTCTAAGAGGGGTGGAAGAGGGTAGAACCAGAGAGATGAGGAAGTGCAGGGGGAGGGGTGGTTAATCATGGGGTTGTACAATTTGATGGGTGAGGGAAATTGAAAGAATTGGCTCTCAAAAACAAGGAGATAGATGTTTGTAAATAAACCAGTATAAAATTTAAAACAAAACCAAAAAGAAAATACAATGTAAATAAAAGAGTCTCTAAAACAAAAGAAAACAACTCTTGGAAGAGGAAGGAAGGATGAGGAATTAAGCATCTCCTCTCTTCAGCAGCTGGACATGTTTCGATAATAGCTTCCCCTTTGCTGGTCAGCAAGCGCTCTTTAAAGGAAGGGCGAAAGATCAGAGGAACAATTCAGAAGGCCCAAACAATAAATGCCCAAGAAAATGGAAGATTTAAGTTTGGAATTTAGCTCCAAAGTCACTCCTGTGGAGTAGAAATCTACTCATAACTGAAGCACCATTGGGTTTCTGAGGCTGTAAACGGTGAGGGATGAGACTGTCATCTTTATCCCTGGAAGCTGCTGGTGGATTCAAACCATCAGAGAGATGCGTTCTGCAAACCTCAGATGAAAAAAAAATATTTTTTTTTGTCCACAGCACAAATATCATATGAATAACTCTCAGAGACTGGGGACAGGGGAGAGTGGAGATACTGTTTAGGGGGTACATATGGCATTTCTATTTGAAGTGATGAACTTGTGGATATAGTGATGAGTGCATGACCAGGCCAACATAATTAACATCACTGAATTGTACACTTAATTGTTACAGTGTTTTGAACAGAGGAGACAGAACTTCTTGTTGTTAGGTGCCAGTGAGTCATGTATGACGTTATGAACAATAGGTATGAGTCCTGACCTATCCTGTGCCATCCTCATTCTCTCTGATCTACTTGACTCCACTGTTAAAGTCACTGTGTCTGTTCACCCTTCTAAGGGTCTTCCTATCTTTTATTGACCCTCTGCCTTTCCAAACATGATGTCCAAGGACTGGCCCCTCCTAACAGCCTGTTCAAAGCATGTGTGTTGAAATGTCACGATTCTTGCCTCCAAGGAGCACCCCGGTTGCACTTTCTCCAAAATATACTTATTTGTTCTCTTGGCAGTCCATGGGATATCCAGTATTCTTTTCCAACAGCCAGGTCAAAGGCATCAATTATTCCTGTCATTGTTATTCATAACTTAGTTAAGCATTAAAATTAGGGAACAGATCAGGAATTTTTAAAAAGGTAAATTCTTGCTCTCAGTTTTTTTGTGATACCAAAATGCCAAATCCCTGGTCACTGAATCAATTTTGATGTATAGGATAAAGCAGAACAGCCTTATAAGATTTCCTATATATAAAGCTTTAAATAAATGTGTGTGTGTGTGTGTGTGTGTGTATTCCCGCCCCCCCCCATCTATCTACCTTTCACAGAAGCATACTGCCACATCTTTCTCTCATGGAGTGGCTGGTGGATTTGAAGTCCTGATGTCTCGGTTAGAAGCTGATGGGTGCTTAGTCCCTGTACCTCCAGGGCTCCTTTTATGGTCTGCTGACAAAGTTGTCCATGCAAGAAGCAACCCTGCCTCAAGGAGTCCTCCAAAAGGTATGTCCTGAAACAGATCAGAGCTAAAATGAAGTTTTCTGTCTTGTGTTAAAGTGGAGGAAAAGAAAAAAAGAACTGAGGTCTTCCCCAAAGAGGATAGAGAGAAGAGTGAGATTAAGTGGGATGAGAAAAGCTGCTGACTTTGCTTTTTGGTGGTTTGAGTTAGGTTGGTTTTTTTTTTCTTTTCCATTGTTGTTATTTTTATTTAAAAAAATAATTCTAGAGAGTTTGACCACCATCATATTGGTTCCTGAGATGTCAAACACCTCCAACTGTCATGTTGTCCTGAGTGACTGTTCTGAGAATGCATGGGCCAGTCAGCAATCCTCAGCACTTCAGATGCTGCTGTTGTCCCTGTAGTTGAGCATGACTCTTAGTGACCCATGAACAACAGACTTGAACCATGCACTGTCATGAACCATCTTTATTATCGCTGATACACTTGAACCCATTGCTGCAACCATTGTGTTAATTCATCTCTCTGAGCCTTTCTCTCTTTTGCTCACCTTCTGCATTTCCAAGCATCATGTCCTTTTCCAAGGTGCACTCTGGCTGCACCTTTTCTAAGCCCTACCTGTCTGTTCTTTTGGCAGTCCATGGGATATTCGGTACTCTTTTCCAACTCCACAACTCAAAGGCATAAATTATTCTTCTTCAATCCTTATTCATTATCCAGCTCTCAGATGCATAGTGATTGACTGAAAAGACCTGAGTTAGGCACACCCTAGTCTTCAAATAGACATCATTGCTCTTCAGTATTTTGGAGTGGTTGTTGACAGTGGCCATTTCCAAAGCAGTATGTCTCCTTATCGCTTTACTTGGTACCAAGAGTGTTGATTTCATATCCGAGTAAGACAAAAATAATCTACAGCTTCAGATGCTAGCTGACCACTAGTCCAGCTCAGCTATTTCCATGCTGGAATATGGCCAGGGCACCTTCTGGGGTTTGGATCTTTCCCTGAATAGGTTGTGATAATTCAGTGAGCCTGGCTTTGGGGGAGAGAACCTCTTCTGGAATTGCGATGACCCAGGTCAGTTTTAGGTGGGGCTCAAGGAAAAAAACAAGTCTTCGGGATTGCAGTGTAGCTTCTTGTCGCAAAGCCATCAAAACTCTAGACCTTCCCGGGATGCTTACGTATGTAACTTGTATAGAAAGATAGTGCTGATTTCTTGTTAATGAAACTCTGAGAGAAGTTTTGAAAAAGCTAATTTAACAGTTTCAAGAACATCTCAAGACCTAACAAATTTACAGTATGGTGGCAGTCCTATATTAGGTGGTGTTACTACGTGCCATGGAAGTCAGCTTTTGTCACCTGGGGTCCAGTAATCCTCAGCCTTCCTCATGTTTTCAATGACCAAAAAGCTTATCTCTCTTCATTTTCTGCCTGTTTCCTATTTCCTTCACTATCTCTTCCTACCACCAGAGGGTGGAGAGAGAAAGGAAATACTTCCCCTCTGTAAAAAAATCAAACCCACTGCCATAGCGACCCCTTCCTTAAAGGGCCGAATGGAAGTGAACTGAGTTTCCAAGGCTTTAAGAAAGCCTCTTCACCCATGGAGCAAGCCCATCCCCCTTTTTCGGTTAGCAGCCGAATGCTTAACTACTGCATCACCATGGCTCCTAAAAAGAAGTAATGGGGCTGTAAATTTGGTCAGCAGAGTATCTTGTGAGGCAAAGTGTGGTGGTGAATGGACCCCCGTGAGAAGCTTCTGAGATGCCCACAAATTACCTGCATACATTTTAGCGTCCACTCGCGGATCGGTAGCCTATGTGTGAGCACGTTGATGTCCTTTGGGCAGGGAGCCTCAGGGAATTCCTGGCTCCATCCCACTGCTGGTAGAGGCCTTGGCCAGCCACACCTGGCCAGCGCCGCGCCCCAGCATCCCCCTCCTCGTCGAACTCCATTTCCCTCACATCACGTTCCACGTTGAACTGCACTGAACCGCCTGATTTTCTTTAACCTCTCAACATCCCCCTTTAGGAAACCTTTTTCTGGGTTGCCGCCCCCTCCCGGACTACATGCCATCACCCTCTGGACCACTGCCCGCCCGGAGGTCTTCCCAGGTGTGGGTGCTTCACCTGCCGGAGATCACCTCTTCCCACAGTAGCTCCACCTCCCGTCGGTTCCTCCCCGCCCGCTCCCTCCCCTTTCCCACGTGCTCCTCCGCTGCCTGTGCGCCCACAGACCCCCAGCGCCTCTGGTCTCGAGGAGTCTCGCGGCACTTTCTGGGACTCGCGCCCCGCCGCCGCGGGTGGGAGGCGGCAGCGCAAAGCTGCGTACCCCCGAGTGGGCGGTGTGTGTGGGGCGCCCACAACCTGCGCCGGCCCTGCCCC